TATCGGGTGATGGCATCGCAGTATGATCCTCTGGGCTACCTCATACCCTTCTCAACTCGAGCGAAGGTTTTAATTCAGGATCTTTGGAAGGCAGGAGTTGGATGGGATAAACAAATCCATTCTACGGCCCTACTAGACAGATGGACACAGTGGGAGAAGGAACTAGTGTACTTGCCACAGGTGGAATTACCACAGATGCTATGTCCCACCAAGAGCAGACACCGGGAGACCAGGTGGAGGGGCTCACATATTTTGTGATGCCTCCGAAAGAGCCTATGGAGCGCCGCCTATCTATGAACACAGGACTCCCAAGGCGACGTCCACGTGGCATTCATGATGGCGAGGTCAAGAGTAAGCCCCCGGAAACAGATTTCTATGCCACGTTTGGAGTTATGTGCAGCTCTTGCCGGAACCCAACTGGCTAGAGTACTCGAGACCGAGCTGGCATTTCAACCCAGTGACATCACCCTATGGAGTGACTCGACAACAGTTTTGACCTGGATCCAATCCGATTCATGCCGCTATAAGGTCTTTGTTGGTACCAGGATTGCCGAAATACAAGATCTTACTGAGGTGTCAAGTTGGAGATATGTCAACACCAAGGACAATCCGGCTGATGACCTCACGCGAGGGAAAACCCTTCTCGAGCTGAATCAACCAAACCGTTGGACTCAGGGCCCACCTTTCCTTTTAACGAACCCTGATACCTGGCCAACTCTCCGTGAAGGTGAAGGTCAAGAAGACAATGGGGAGCTGAGAGCAACAGCATTCTGTGGAACCACCACCACATGCAGTCCACAGCTAACGGTGCCAATTTCCAATTTTGGCAAATGGAGTGCAGTGGTTAAGGCTGCTGATCACGAAAACCATGTCATGACTGCTACAGATGTATCAGCTGCTGAGCTGCATCTCCTGAAACAAGCTCAAAATGATAGCTTCCCTGAGGAATTACAGGCCCTGGCTGCTGGTAAGGCAATTCATAAGCAGAGTCGCCTGCTAACACTCGCTCCGGAGGATGACCCGGCTATTGGGCTGATAAGAGTTGGGGGCAGACTAAGAAGAGCAGAAGGTTTGGACTTGGATGCCATGCACCCCATAGTCCTTGACCCGCAGCATCCGGTGTCCAAACTGCTGATCAGAGAATATGATAAGCAGCTGTTGCACCCTGGGCCAGAACGAGTCTTCGGGGAGATAAGGAGAAAATATTGGATTCTCCAAGGAAGGGAGGCAATCAAGCGGCACCAGCACAGCTGTGGTGAGTGTTGAAGGTGGCGAGCCCGTCCTAATATTCCTCGGATGGCAGATCTACCCCCGCGAGGCTGCACCTATACAAACTACTTTTGGTCCACTGGAGTCGACTGCTTTGGTCCTTACAACATCAAAGTAGGACGGCGCACCGAAAAGCGTTGGGGTATCATATTCAAATGCATGACTACGAGCTGTGTGCATCTTGACCTGTTGGACAGCATAGATACTGATGCCTTTCTCATGGCTCTGCGTCTGTTTATTGCACGCCGGGGCAAGCCATATGAGATCCTATCTGACTGTTCAACTTCAGGGGAGGTGAGATCGAACTGCGGTCTAGTTTCTCAGCTCTTGAAGCCCCCATTAAAGAGTAGCTGGCGGAGCAGAGGATTGAGTTCCGGTTTAATCCACCAGGTTCCCCCCATTTTGGAGGTACTTGGGAACGGGAGATAAGATCTGTGAAGGCAGCTCTTCAAGTGGTGCTGGGAGGCAATACGGTCACAGAGGCAGTTTTGCAAACTGTGCTCGTCGAGGTGGAAGGGATCATTAATGCAAAGCCTCTCGGCTATGTCTCTTCGGATGTAGCGGATCCGGATCCAGTCACACCCAACTTATTGCTAATGGGGCGACGAGATGCATCACTCCCCCAGGTGATTTATGCTTCGAGTGAGATGCTGGGAAGATGGCGATGGCGCCATAGTCAGATTCTGGCAGACCATTTTTGTTCCAACTTCCTGCGTCACCATCTGCCTGATTTTCAGAGGAGACAAAGATGGCAGGGTGATACTGACAACTTAACCACAGGTCAAGTGGTTATGGTGGTTGACTCACAACTACCGCGAGCGCAGTGGCCTATTGGAAAGGTGGTCAAGGCCTGTCCAGGGCCAGACGGTCGGGTGAGAGCGGCTGAGGTGACAATCAAGGGACAGACATATCTTCGACCTGTTGCCAGATTAGTCACACTCTCAGCCTGGGAGGATGAGGAGGACTGTAAACCCAATGATGCTTAGACTTTCCGTTGAAGAGCAAATTTACTACTTAAATTTGGGGGCGGCTGTGTCTCCTTATATTTCAGTTGCATAGTTATAAGTGCACTGGTAATGTCTGCCGATAAGTTCCACTTTGTTCTTACTGTTTGCTACGGTGATGACGTCACATGCTTTTACAACGGTCCTGCCGTATCACGAGTCCGGGGAGCACTAGGCATGCTTTTCTCCATGAGTGTGGGTGAATAGCGATCTCCAGCCGTGTGCGTTCCTGTGCAAATGTGAGTCAAAATCCTTCCAATTCTACGAGTCCATTTCCACTTGTACTTTGATGATAATTACAGGGGGTTTAGGCTAGGAGATTTATCGAGATTGGTAGAGGCATGTGACTTACCACCGTAGCCTTTGTTGCGGGTTGGATCTGTGCACCGCAGTTAGGTTATTTAGCCACTAGAGGGCACTGAAGACCATGTAATTGTCAACTTTTCCTAATTTTGGGGCATTAGGTCTTTTCTGTTGCCTGAGATATGCAGGTCTTCTTGTTTCCTGCCTGTTCAAATGGGATTGTGGGACTTTCTTGTGTCAGAGCATTCACCTCCGGGCATTATTTGTGTTACAGTTCGTTATATTGGTGTGATGTTGGGAAGTGATAATTGTTATATTTACATGTGATAATTGTTTCTCCTTGTTTCTTGTTATTCAGAATCACACGTGTGTCCGCCCCTCCCACACTTGTTAAGTATGCCTACTGCTGTACTGTTGAGCTGCTGTTAACTTCCATTAAAGTATATCTGGACATCACTCTGTGCCCCACTCTCTGACCGGAGTTTAAGTCCTGAGGGAGCTATCATCCCAGCATCCCAGAGATAACTTTCTAACAGTGATGTTTAAAAAAAAATAACATAATGATAGGATCTTAATAATACACATATGATGAAAAGACACCAATGCAGGAGTATGAGAAACAGTTCACTGAGCGGCCACTTGAGCCGGCCTCAAATGGCCTCCTAGACCCTGCTGATAAAATGCCCCAATTTAGAGAAGAGATAAACATGTTTACAGAATAGTGAGACGTCTACAAACCGATGGGTGACCTCACAGCGCACACATCCATCATTTATACAGTTTATCATGTTAATCAACACTAAGCACACAATAGGACAGTGCTACCAACCTGGTTAATCACATCCGCCCTTTGATCACACAGTATTTGCCACAGCAGAGAAAGCAATTTTCAGTCAGATATGTATCAGCTGATCTGTTTTGCATTTCCACTTGAGTGTAATTGTAATTTTTATGGGCTTTCTATAATTATGGTTAAAGATTCTCTCTCCAACTCCCCACATGTAGTTTGAGAATACTGCGAATAGATAATGTTGCGAAAATCAAATATTGGCCGCGCTGGTATGAGAAGACTATCCCTCACGAGTCGGATGCATGCTAGATGTGCCTCAGGCACAGAGAGGGGAGGAGGGGGATCTGACATAATACTGTGAGTTTTGGCGGAGCTCATCCTGGACTCATTCCTGTCACTGGAGTGACTGCAGTAAGAGCCACTTACACAGATCCAGCCACAGTGGCTGCTAAAGCCAAGGGGAGGGGCTCCTGCATGTGGCTTTTTCTTGCAAATAAAAAAACGAGGTGTTGTTGCTTCAAGTGGAGTAAGCTATCTACAGCCCTCTTTAGGTACATGTTGATTGGCTAAACATATATGATACATACAGCTATTCAGCAGAAAGAGAAAGCATGTGGTGCTGCATCAACCTGTGTGAAACATAACAAAATATATGAGCACTTACCAGCAGTAGTACTAATAATAACTCCCCCCTCTAAAGAACTAATAACAAATCTGGCTTTCAATAAGCATGAGCAGATCATTAAAAATAGCATTAGCATGTAGAAAATGAACTAACTGTGCTGCATGAGATGATTTAAAGCCAGAGGAAGTTACAGTGATGCTAATAAGCCAGCTCTAGTGGATCCCTGTGAGTGAGTTCACCATCATTTCCCTTGACCACATGACATGCCTCTGCTGGTCACAAACACTCACTCTATTCATATGAAATTAAGCCTGATTGGATCTGGCAGGCAAGAAGCACAAACAAACGTGATTTTCTTCCAGTAAACAATGATTCATGTATTTTTATTTTTTTATTTTCTAAATACTAAAAAAGGGGGGGAAAGGAAGAAAATTCAGGCCTTTTTTGTTTAATGACATTTGCCTTTTTCAGCTAGGTTTAACAAAACAAAATCTGGGTTAATCTGCTTAAAGCCTAAAGAAAAATGTCATATTTTCCTCTGTTTATTTAAGATAAGCAGTATAACCAACAGCATACAATTATTATGTAACCCCATTAACTGCTCCGAGAGCCCATTCCTTGCCAAGTCTTGTCGTCCTGCTGCAGTGTAAATGAATGTAAATCAAATTCCGTCAAGTGTTGCCTCCAGAGAAAATGACACCTCGCCTGATGTCGCTTCTCAGAGTGGATGTGGAAGCACCGCTGGGACGTGTGCGAGACGGCGCGTTTTTGTGCCAAAGATTCATGATCGGATCAAACTGCAATAGACTCTGTCTAAACCCTGGACCAACTCTCCCCCGTGGCCCCTGTGAGTGGCACGACGCTGCAGAAAGGCTAATTAACGTGGCACACTGTTGCCAAATGTGCCCATTCAACCATTTAAAGAAAACACAAAGTAAGCGCAAAAAGGAGACAGAAGACGGGAAAAGTTTTACCAAAACACTCACTGGAGTCAAAGTGCGTGACTTACTTATCAAAATGAAGACGGGGAGATAAGTGTTGTGGTTTTTTATATAGTCCATGGCTCCTCTTTCTTCGGCGGCAGCTCCACAGAGAGTCCGTGCTGGGTTTCCTTGTTGGCACCTTTTAAGCCCTCATGAATACGCTGGAGAGAAACCCGGCTCGTGAAGTTAACGATTAACGGTCACACGCGCGCTCCTCCAGACACTATAGTTATTTCTCAAGTTGCGCACTGTTACTCATTCCGGTGATGCTGATGCTGCTGCAGCTCCCAATGACGACAACCGCCCCAAACCCTCCTCCCTCCAAACCCTCCTCCCCTGCCTCTGCTCCCTTTCACTGCGTGTTAGTCACCAGTCAAAAGGGCTCCGAGTCCAAGAGAAGCTTTCAGGCTCACTCTGCCCACATATGTCAAGACAGACTTTTATGGAAAGGACTCTGTGAACCAGTTTCTCACGCCAGGATTAAAAACCTTACCCTGAGAAAATCAAATTAAAAAAAATAAAGCGGACATTATTGCATAATTGAAGTAACATCGCAGGAAATCATTAAACATTTTTCCATATTTCAGTTTTATCTGAACAGTGTCAAAAACAGCAAAAAGGGAACATCTGTAGATAAAATGAATGCAGTCGAATGCAATAGTCATATATTAGAGCCTACTTATATTCATGAAGACTAGCTATAAAGATAAGCCTTCCAACTTTATGGTTATTTTGGAAGTTTGGAGTTTATGGTGTTGTAAATAGACACATATAAGGTTTTACTTACTAGACCTTGTTAGTATTGGTTTGGACCCCGTTTTGCCTTCAGAACTGGTTTAATTCATCGTGGCACTTGCAGCAGATTTTTTTTTTTTTGGCTGCACATCCATGGTGAGAATCTCCCATTTCATCACATCCCAAAAATCCTCTATTGGACTGAGGTCTGGTGACTGTGGAGGCCATTTGAGTACAGTGAATTCAATGACATGTTTGAGCAAGCAGTTTGAGATTATTTGAGCTCTGGTGCATTATCCTGTCTAGAAGAAACCATCAAAAGATGGGTACACTGTGGCAATAAAGGGATGCACATGTTCAATAGAAATACTTAAAGTCTGTAGATCATGAGGGGCCTAAAATGTGTTGTGAAGATATCCCCCACACCCCCAGAAGCAACTTGCAGTATTGATACAAGGCAGGATAGAGATGAGCAGTTTCTGAGACCAGCCTGTCTGGTACCAACAACCGTGCCACATTCAGAGTCACTTAAACTACCTTCCTTCCTCATTCTGATGCCTGGTTTTAATTTCAGGAGGTTGTCTTGACCATGTGTACATGCCTAAATGCAGTGAGTTGCTGCCATGCGATTCACCCCTCAGCCAAACATCACACTATCGCTGATTCCTTCTTATATAACTCACAGTTACTCCATGAGATCATTAATACCTCCTGCCAGCAGCTGATTTTGAGTAAATATTTATTCAGGTTTCAAGATTGTTCAAACTTTTGGGGATTAAAATAAACAATGCATGTACCCAGAATATCTTCAAGTGTTTTGTACCTGTCAGATTAAAGTGATGGAAAACAAGTCAGTGGGTAACCAAAAAAGCAGCAGTGCATGACAAGGCTTTACTTCAGAACGACATAGAAAAAGGTAGACTGTGGCATTTAAACGATTCTCTGCTGATACTAGGGGGCCCAGAGTGTGCCAAGAAAACCTCTCCCACACCATTACCCCACCACCACTAACCCGAACCGTTGACACGTGGTAAGTTGATCTATGCCTTCACATTAGTTACATCAAATTTTGACCCCAGCATCAAATGTCACAGCAGAAATTGAGACTCATCTTATTAGATGGTTTTCTGATCTGCTACTGTTTTATTTTTGGTCTTTATTACAGCCTGTTTTTTGCTAATAGGAGTGGCATACAGTGTGCTCTTCTGCTGTTGTAGCCCATCTGCCCGAGTATTTTATTTGTGCAGTCAAAGAAGCTCCTCTGTATACCTTGTTTATAACAAGTTACTGGGTTACTTCATAACAGTTCGAAGCAGTCTGGTCAGTCTCCTCTGACCTCAACAAAGCATTTTTTGCCCAGAACACTGCTGCTTGTTGAATATTTTCTCTTTTTCAAACGATTCTCTGTAAAGCCTAGAGATCATTATGTTGGAAAATTCGAGTAGATCTGCAGTTTCTGAAATACAAGCAGCAGCAACCATGCCACATTCAAAGTAATTTAAATCAGCTTTCTTCTCCATTCTGACGCTCTGTTTGAAGTTTGGCAGGTCACGTCTACGTGCCTTATTGAGTTGCTGCCATGTGATTAGCTGATTAAATGTTTATGTTAATGAGTAGTTTAACAGGTGTAACTAACAACATGGTGAGTGAGTGTATCTGAATATTTTGAGAGTCTGTAGTCAAAGAGCAAGACTTTCACTTTTAGGAGGTTTTGTTCTATTGACAAATCACATTTGAGCAGTCTTAGATGTTTGCAAGTAAAGAGTTTGCGTGGAGAGACAAAGTCAGCCCACAGACTGATGGCCCTGTTGAACTGAATTGCATCCCACAGAAAGGTGTTCCTGTCATTTTCTCCACTCCAATTTGGATCATTAAGGGCAGGCCATTGTAAATATCAAATTGCAGTACAGTCAAACAGTAGGCTCCATTAGTTGTGGTAAGCATACTTAATAAAGTTGCAGCTGAGATTATTATTGGCTGCAGCCTAGAAATTGTAAAGTGTCATTCAACTTTAATTTTCAGTAGATGACGATATGTTGTTATTTGTTTATTTATTTTTGTCTATAAGATCGTAGCTAACACAACAAATACAGCTGTCCTTACTCCCGGTGATCTAAATATAACAGTACAGGTGTCATGCATATTTATCAGGTGTTTCTAATAAAAAGATTAAATGCTCATAGACGTGATACAAACATGCAGAGGATGTTAACTTTAATGAACAAACACCAGGCTTTTGTATACAGACACTTGTGTTTTAAATATAAGCTAGGGTAAATCACTGAATTATTCAGCTTGAAATACGCACCCGTCCATCCACATCAGTCAGAATTGGCAGATAGCACGTACTTCTAAAACGACTGGAGTCACAGGCAGGTTGAAAATTAAAGCCGGAGTAATGAAAGGCTGTCAAGAAAGTGATTAGCTTTGTTTTTGTGCTTTTCTTTCACCTTTTCTTTGAAGTAGTCCAATATCTATGACCTACATTTACACACTGACGGGTTTGCAAAATCCAAGTTATAAATCTCCTTTATACACTGTTTAAGTTTTCTGTCTTTGTTTCTTTCTTTCAGTCAAGCATGTAGCACTAACTGTAGCTTTCTCTCCAGATGATGACAGTTCAAAGGTCAAACCTCTGTGTTGTTCAAGTTACATCTTCAAACCTGTGAAAAGTACCTTTCTCTTCATTTATGAAGCTGTCAATCAATGTCAGTTTGAAGAAAATGTTTTTCAAGGCACTGACACTATAGATCTGCAGGTAGGGAGTGCATTAGAGTGGGAGGCAAATAGCTCCAGGATAGGGAACAATACATGAACTGAGAATAATAACCATTGTTAAAATAATTATAAATCATTACATTCTATAAAAATGTGCTGCTCACAATAACAGACAAGAATAAACACAGGAAATGCAAATTACTGTCAATGATGCCATGTGCTCTCTTCTTTAAAAGCCCTCAAAAAGGCATTTTAATGCTCATTGGCCAACAATCCAAGCCAAAGTCCAATGGCTTCCTAGTAAGCACCAGGAAGTTGCTGATTTTCTTTCATTTTTAAACTTTCCCAACAACAAAGCAGGATTTAAGCTATAATTCTGCACATCTACCTTCAAATCTGAGGTAGTATATCATTAAAATCAGATGTGTCTTCTTTTCTGTGGACGTCAAACTGTTCATTCCTAAAATACTTTCATGTTTTCCCATCTGGATGACTGCAATTCCCTCTGTATGTACCTCAATCAAGGTGCACAAAATCGATTACAGTTGCTTCAAAATGCAGCTAGTAGCCTCTCAACTACAACTATTGCCCACCTGATCTTCCACCCCCCAAACACACACACACTTGTTTCCATTAAAATTGATAATAAAATACATTATTTGGTTGATTAAGTGAACTGCACAGCCTTACTGCTTTTTATATTTCTGATCTTGTTGTTCCTCTTTCTGCTTCTCAATCACTCCAGTCCTCAAATGTCTGCCTTTCATCCATCACCCACTCCAAGTGCAAAGCAAAAGGCAACAACCCTCTGCAATCACCTTCCCAAATTCATCAGTGTTTCTGAATCTTTAGGTTGTTTCAAGAAGCTTCTAAAATGCATTGCTTGTTTGTTTGTAACTTAGCATTAGAATGTGCTAGATAAATGACGCTTCACTAAATTACAAACGACACTAGAGATCTGTCAGACTACCACACAACCAAAGTGCAGGTTGGTCTGCAGGTTAATGGGGCTAGTGCCCTAAATCAAATCTGATTTAAGATCTGATAATCCTGAAGGTCAGGATCAGGGTTATGTTAAGTTACAAGATGAATGTAATTGTATTAGATCTGTTGACATGAGGTGATTTGCAAATGTCTTGTGCTACCTCTCATTTCTTTATAATCCATGTCACGGCTGCGGTGGCAGACGTGTGGGGTTATGAATGAAGGACCCAAGATGCAGGCACTGGCTGTGTGGCGAGGATGGCAAGGACCGAACTAAGAAAACCTAAACTGGGAAAAACCTAACAAACCAAACTCGAAACCATACATGCAGGGAGAAACACAGGGCATGATGAGCAAAAGACCCCACGACAAACACTAGAGAACACACACTCATATACACAAAGGGAAACAAGGAAACAGCACACAGGAGGGAGACACAGCTGAACCCAAGAAGCATGACAAGACAGGGAGAACGCAAACTGAATACACTGACATCAGACACAGACCTTCAAAGTAAAACAGGAAATACACGCACACAGAACTCAGAGACACCACACTGACAGAGAACAGAGGGAACACACGGGCAGGGATGTTAAACATAGGGAGCACAGAACTAAAACCTGAGAACGAGGAAAATCTTAACAGAATACATAACCTGAATAACAAGAACATAAGATAATGTTAATTAATAGCCAACCCTGAGTCAACAGACTCAGGCCCATGACAATCTGCCTGGAAAATGAAAAAAAAAAAGACATTGTGATTTATTAAAACATGTTAAAAAATACATAGAAAGTTGCCTTTAAATTCACTAATAACCTTGAACGCCAATATTAGCTGCT